AACTATTACAATAAACTTTTTAATAAAGCACTATGTAAGACATCGAAATATTCATCTTGCCCCAGTTTTTACTACAATTTCAAAAAATGAACATATAAAATTAGTCAAAGGACTATTATACAATAGCTAGTGCTAAAGGATATAGAGCTTATTTATTTACTTTATTCCACTATGCTAATAAAAAAAAAATCATATATTATGGCATATGTATGGAAGGCTTAAATGGAGCTTTGTAAGAATATTACACATTTATAGTCTCAATATCTCCAAAGAAGGATGAGGCGGATATTGTTCTGGAACCATGCTCTGATGTGAAAACAAAACTAAGAAATATAATGCCAGTCACATGGGTTTCTCATTCAGTTAGTAAGCAAATAAGATATTTTCTCAGATTTAGAAAGCTAGAACTATCTAAGCCTCCTTTAAATATAAACTCACTCTAACATGCCACATTTTAAAACAAGTTTTTTCAAAGTTGTTCTGATTTAAAATATTTTTTCAGGGAAGCAGTCTATCCTGAGAGTAAGTGATCAAAAGTGCAAGTTGAGTCGAAATAATTTATTATTCCCGCTTTTCATTATGTTACAAGTCATCTTTTTTCAAAAGAGTAATAGGAAAAATCACATGAAAGATGTTTTTTCCTTAAAAATAAATCCAAACTATGACACAAATCATGATGTGATGAAGAATTTGTACCACATAAGTTTTGAAAGAGTAGCAAATGAGTAGCCTACATAAATAATAACCAAGACTTTAACTCTGTATTCTAAGGAATTCAAGATGTATACAGAATTTCAGAGGATCAGAAATAGTGGTTCAGCTACTGAAAATGCACACAGACACTGTAACAGGCAAATAATTAGACAATACACACACATACACACACACACACACACAATCATGAGACCAAAAATGTCTCATGATCCAATTTAGGTTTGAAAAGGGTAAACACAACACACACAAAAAAAAAAACAAATAAGAGTTACTGGAATATAAAAAGGAATAAATTTTTCAAAGACACAATTTAAAAATATTTTTTTCTTGAAAAGAACTACTACGGCAGCAAGTCAAGCTAGTGGAAATCACTAATTGATTAAAACTATAAATAGGCCAAATTTCACCAATGGCCCAACAAGAACTAAATGCAAAGAGAGTACATTAGCTAAAATGACAATGTAATGTTTGGAAAATTCCTTCTTGAAAGGAACTTATTAATTCTACTGTATGCAGTAACAAAAGACAACTTTTGAGCTTGCTTGCACAAGAATGAACCTGAAATTACCATTTCAAAGCAGCAGCCCACTTACACCCTGAATGAAATCATGATCTACTTGAAAAAATAGGACTGGCTCATTCATATACACAATCATTTTTTATAAAGCATTTTTAAGGTACCAGGCACTGTTAAAAGTGCTTTACAGGAAGTAGTACTACCTTAAATCTTAACCATGAACTGCTATATTCTTCCACATTCTTCTCATTTTTAGATGAGAGACCTGAGACTTAGAACTTACCACATCTTTAACAAATCATTTCAATAATGATCATACACGATACACATATTATCAGAAATAGTAATCACCCAATAGCTAAAAGTAGTCCCAGTACTATGTAGCTATTACTCATATTAAATAACTGGTACGAGGTAAAAGTAATATGAGTTAAGACCTCAATTCCATTGACTAATTATGTTTTCAGCTCTGTTCTTTTCACAGTACTATTAATATAAGATTTAATTCCTATTCTCTCCCTCTCTCCCTCCATCTCTCATTGGGACAGAAGAAGGGCTTGTAGGGAGGACAGATAAGTTTTTTAATTCACTGTATGTACCTAGACATAAAATTACTTTGTAAAAGATTTTAGTATCTTTTCTTTACTAGATACTATGTCCAGATAGCTTACAAATATTATCAATAATCCTCCTGACACGTGTTATTAGTCACGTTTCACCAGTCTTTAAGTTGAGTTATACAGAGTTTATATAAACCAACTAGGTTCACCATCTAGGTTAAATGGCTAAGCTGAGGCCAGGACTTAGAAGTGTTGAATACAAAGTCCATAGTTTGTCTGGACAATGAAGGGTTTGGACTCTACTCCATTATTACGTACTGCTTTTTCAACCTTTTGGGTCAGTCACACATTTATATTATTTATATAGCCTTAGATTTATGGAAATAACTAGAATTATAGTTAATACTTTGGTTTGTCTGCCACTCCACTCTCCCATTCCCCAACCGGTCCCTTAAATTACAGTACCACAGACTCTAAAACCTATCTCCTTACATCATATTGTCTATCTTTTAGTTTGGTCTTTATTTATAATTTGGGTTTCTCAAATAAAAGCAACCATGAAACATTTAAGGTAGAATGTGTGTGACTTATTTCACTTAACATTACGGCCTCAAGGTGTACCTATTTTTATAACTTCTAATTATACTTAGAAGTCTTTATGGGATTCACAGAGCTCCCTTTAGAACAGAGTGGTTAACAGCAACTGTGGAGCTAAGGTCTGAAACACAGGGACTCAAATACTAGCTCTCTTGTTAGCTCCACTCTATACATGTGATGTCACAATTTTTAAACCTGAGATCAGTATTTGCATCTGAAAAATGAGAATGGAACCTCCATTGAGATGTCTGTGTGATGACTAGCTAGGTAACTGATAAAATGTAAGTGTACTTTCTTATACCTGACTTGTGAAACTACTTTAAGAAACAATTTTTCTTCAATGGGAATATATTATCAACTTAATTGTTCCTCTCAGCACAAAATGTCTTTTGAGGTAGAAATCACCCAAAAATGACTTGTAAAGAAATGACATAAATGCACAAATGTTACCAGAAAATTTACTAGAGAAAAACTGTAAGTGCTTTTTGGGCAATGGATGCTTAAAATACAAGGTGCTGATGACAAGACCTTAAGAATCAAAATACAATTTCCTGCCATTTTATTTTCTAACATTAAATTGTATATATTGAAGGTGTAGAACTTAATATATACATTGCAAAATAATTATTATAAGCTAATTAACAAACTAACATATCTATTCCCTTTACATTGATATAGAACTTTTAGCAGAGGAAAATGTCTACAGTGAGAAACTGACTTAGTTAATACAAATAGACACCTTATAAGAGTGCCTGATTTTAACTACTTTGAAGTATGCAATTATGTGGCACAAATTACTTTCTCAATGCTGTGGACTAATCATGCCTCTATCCTCAACTGTTTCCTAACCCTCAAGAAAAAGGTTTGAACATCTCCTCTAAACCTCATGCTGACATTCATCTGCTAGTGTAGCAGTGCTGAGGTGGAACCCTGAGGAGGCGAGTCAGTCATGAGCACTTCACGCTCACAAATGGATTAACGCCACTTTCATTAGTTACCACGGGAAGTGGGTTTCTAACAAAAAGATGAGGTTGACCCTATTTTCCTTCTTCTCTCACTGTCTCTTTGACATTCCACCATAGGATGATGTAAACAAGAAGGGCCTTACCAGATATTGGTGCCATGCTCTTGGACTTGGCAGGCTCTAAAACTGTGAGCTAAATAAACTTTTCCTGTTTACAAATTACATGCTTTGTAGCATTACAGTGGTAGCAAGCAGACTAAAACACTTTTCATTCTGCCTTGCCTTATGTCCTGGTAACCTCTAGCCTAGTTTCTACCTCTGTGAATTGCCTATTATAAATATTTCATTCAAGTAAAATACATAATAGTTGTCCTTTTGTGTCTGGCTTATTTTATAGAGCACAGTTTTTTCAAGGCCAATCCATGTTGTAGCATGTATCTAAACATTATTCCTTTTTACGACTGAGTAATATTCTATTGGACTTTTATACTACATTTTTTCATCTATTCCTCTGTTGATGGAAACAGACCTTTTCCACTTTTAGGCTACTGTGAATTCTATTACAGTGAAGAACATTCACCTACAAAAATGTGAGTCCCAGTGTTCAGTTCTTGACAGTATTTAACTAGAAGTGGAATTATGGGTCAAATGGCAACTCTATGTTTAACTTTTTGAAGAATTTCCAAACTTTTTACAATTGTTGCCCCATTTTATGTTTCATCATTTACATTTTACATTACATGAGTTCTAATTTGCCCATACCCTTTATGTGTTGTTGTACATTTTTTCTCTTTTAGCCAACTTTAGTGGGTGTGAAATAGTATGTCATTGTAGTTCTCTAATGACTAAAGATTTAGGCAGTTTCTTCAAAGGATACTTCACCACCTGATAGGACAACTCCTAAATGATTATTTGTATTATCTGAACAAAGAGCAAGCTCCTAGAGCCATTTTGCCATGTTTATGAGGGATTATAGTACAAAGTACACTGGTTTTGACCTTTTTTTCATAATATAGGTTCTGCCAGAAGCAGAGATGCCTTTCCTCCCTGGGCTTGGTTATTTAATCACAGTAACCTAGAAACTATAAAGTACTAAGAAAGAGCTTAGCCAAAATTAATTCAGCTCCCCTTTACTATTTAAAACAATGAAGAGGGTATATCTGAAAGTAGCTTCTATTATTCCTTCTTCTATAAAAATTAATTTCTTTCTTTGTTCCTTTATTAGTGCCTATCAATTTTATAAAAATCAGGTTC